AAAGTAGAAAACAGATACAAGTTTCATACATTTTAAGGGTGCAAGAATGGATTTAATTAGAAATAAACACAATTCTTTTCACATCTTTTTCAGTTATTTCCCAACACAAGAAAAACCAGGTCGTTAAGGTATGTTTTATTTGCATTTTATTATTAGTATTTGAGCTATTCTACAAAACGAATGTAAACTTATTAGTCTACTGCCCGTTTTCACCATCAAACCCTAATTTTTAAGTGATCCCTATGGTAACAAATAACATGAATTTTGTTTTCAAAGGGGTCACTTAAAAATTAGGAATTGGTGGTGAAAACGGGCATACGTCTATTAGTTTCGACGTAATTGTTGAACAAAGATACCCCTTCCCAGCGGTTTCCATAGCGCACGCGAGATGCGAAAATGCACTGCCTGAAAGAATTACACAACCTATTCCGATTACTATGGAAACCGCTGGGAATGGGTATCTCTGTTCAACAATTACGTCGAAACTAATAGACGTAGACTAATAAATTTACATTCGTTTTGTAGAATGGCTCAAATACTAATAATACAATGCAAATAAAACATACCTTAACGACCTGGTTTTCCTTGTGTTGGGAAATAACTGAAAAAGGTGTGAAAAAATCATGTTTTTTTCTAATTAAATCCATTCTTACTCCCTTAAAATGTATGAAACTTGTGTCTGTTTTCTACTTCTACTAAAAGATAATTTTACTGGCTATCGCATGATATAAAATATTTGCTTATTAATGTTAAGTTACCCACGCTATCACTTGTGTTTGAAGGAGGAGGTGAAAACTTAAAATTAAAAACTTAAATCCTTGTAAATATGCGAGAAATGGGTCAAGCCCCAAATTTAAAGTATTTTCACCGATAAAATTGTCCATAGATTACGCCCTTAAAGTTTGATCACTACATGCCCGGACACACTGTATACACACACACACACACACACACACACACACACACACACACACACACACACACACACTCACCTCCTGAGTTACTTAGGTTTAGATTATCTTAGATTCTCTGGTATATTTTTATTTCTTTTTCTATATTTGTATTCTAGTTATAAGCAAAATTAAACAATAACACACGGTTCGGGCGGAGAGTCTGGAGGCCTGAAATACAGGAATTTCCTAGTTTAGGCTCCAGTCCTCTCCAATATTATGTGTTTACTTACCATATTTTCAACTTAACAACTCTCAACTTCATTATGTATTGCAATATAGTGAACATGTAATGTTGTGGTGGAAATAAAGAATTATTTATTATTATTATTATTATTATTATTACTATTAAAAACTTCCGTGCGTCTATGACGTCATAAGCGGTCGTGTATTCCCGACTCCGGCGCTGGCGCATGTTGAGAAAACGTTGAATACTCCGCACTGCTAGTGTTGTGTAAGTTTCCAAATCTTTGCGGTTTTCTATCATCGTTTATTTAAAATTCATATCGAATTACAATTTAAATAATTCGTCTGTTTAATTCATAGAAAGTCTTAGGAGACAAGCTTTCAAAGTCAAAGTTTTAGGAGACAAGCTTTGGCTCGCTTCAAATTTGGTGACAAGCTTTATAGCTCATAACCAACAGAATTCAAGGCCCTTCTAATGGTACTGCAGTGGTCTTATTCTGATAAGTAGTAAAGAAGCTATGAACGAAAAGATGTGAATTATATGCAATCAGCCCATGAATACAGGTAAAGTCACAAGCAAATGCTAGTAATATACAGGGTGTTTCTTGTAAGGTGTCAAGCCGATGGCAGGTGATAGGTGAGGACTAGACCTATCGATTTCACCCCCATGTATGTTATTACGATTTTTCATAGTTTAGAAGATTTCTTTTTTTTGACAGATTCCCTATTAATTGCAGATTTTTGAAAAAAATAATCAACTTCCTATCTTTGATGCAAGATACAAAATTTTTGCTAGAAACATAAAAAATATGCTTTTAGCGGAACATTCTAAAATTTTCAACTTAAAAGTTAAAAAAAAAAGAAATTCCATAGGTCCAAAATAATTTTAAAAACTGCGCAGTTTTCTGAACTTTCATAATAACACAAAAAAACATGTACTTAATAGGCCATTATTTTCTGTAATCGCTCCACTCAAGTGGCAAGTTGGAGATTCCGTTACATGTTTTTGACTTTCTTAGGACTAAGTAATATTTGCAATCCCTTAAGTTTACGTTATTTAGAATACATTTAGAGACAATATCTGAAAAGAACATTTTTTATCCACAACGAGGAAGCTCTTGTCCTTCATCTGGTATCAAAAAAAATCAAAAAAATACCATAGGGAATATGAAAATATTGATGAACTGCGGACAAAGCTGACTGAAGCACAAAACCAAATTAAAATGAAGAAGAAGGTTTTACGAAGATTTTTTTTGCGTCGTTGTCGAATGTGCATTCAGGTCAACGGCGGACATTATGAACATTTACTTTAAATTAAATCATTACGCCCTTCTCTCTCTCACACACACACACGCACGCACGCACGCACGCACGCACGCACGCACGAGCGATTACAGAAAATAATGGCCTATTAAGTACATGTTTTTTTGTGTTATTATGAAAGTTCAGAAAACTGCGCAGTTTTTAAAATTATTTTGGACCTATGGAAATTCTTTTTTTTTCTCATACATTTCAATTGAACATTTTAGAATGTTCTGCTAAAAGCATATTTTTTATGTTTCTAGCAAAAATTTTGTATCTTGCATCAAAGACAGGAAGGTGATTATTTTTTTCAAATATTTGCAACTAATAGGGAATCTGACAAAAAAAAGAAATCTGAGAAAAATCAACCCAAAAAAAAGATAAAAAAAAAATTAAGCCACTAGGTCATGAAATTTGAAAAAATCACAAAATTAACGATAACTTCTAAACTACGAAAAATCGTAGAACATACATGGGGGTGAAATCGATAGGTCTAGTCCTCACCTATCACCTGCCTTCGGCTTGACACCTTACAAGAAACACCCTGTATACATATACAGTGTGTCCGGGCATGTAGTGATCAAATTTTAAGGGCGTAATCTATGGACAATTTTATCGGTGAAAATACTTTAAATTTGGGGCTTGACCCATTTCTCGCATATTTACAAGGATTTAAGTTTTTAATTTTAAGTTTTCACCTCTTCCTTCAAAAACAAGTGATAGCGTGGGTAGTTTAACATTAATAAGCAAAAATTTTAAATCATGCGATAGCCAATAAAATTATCTATTAGTAGAAGTAGAAAACAGATACAAGTATCATACATTTTAAGGGTGTAAGAATGGATTTAATTAGAAATAAACACGATTTTTTTCACATCTTTTTCAGTTATTTCCCAACACAAGAAAAACCAGGTCGTTAAGGTATGTTTTATTTGCATTTTATTATTAGTATTTGAGCTATTCTACAAAACGAATGTAAATTTGTTATGCCCGTTTTCACCAACAATCCCTAATTTTTAAGCGACGCCTATGAAATATTAGGTAATGCCTAACAGGAATTTCGTTTTCACCAACACATAAGGGACACCTTGGACCTTAAGAGATCACTTTAAAACAGGGGCCGGATTTCCGGCCCCCTAGTGTTAGATGACAGTTTTAATGTCAATTACGCGGCAAACGGCAAATTGGAAACTTCGGAAATGTCTGAAATAAATGATTTTTTTGAAGCTATTGAAGCTATCGAAACCGTGGAAACACTTTTTCAATCAAATTTATTAAGCCGACCACGTATGTTTCGAGAAAGACCCGATTTTTTCTCAAAATACGACGAAAAAGATTTTTTTACTAGATATCGGCTTTCAAAACAGAGTGTTTTATTTGTATTGGCAAAAATTGAACATCTGTTAGAGTATCCAACTAACAGGTATGTATAGATATTATGTTTTCTATTTAAGACCTACATTATGTACCTAAGCGACAGACGCGGCCACAAAACGCGGGCGCGCGTCATTACCCGACTGCGCCAGAAGGAGGGTTATGTTTTTTCACTCGGACTCGGAGTCGCGTAGTAGTAATTATACGGCTTTTTAAGAGGGTGTATTATGTAATTAACTTACCTACTTAACACATTCAAAATGTAATTAATCACATACTTAATTTCTTTTCAGAAATAAATCCGTATCACCAATTTGCCAACTATTGTGTGCATTAAGATTCTATGCCACTGGGAACCATTTAATTGCAGTGGCAGACATGGGTGGCATAAGTGTTGCGACATGTAGTAGGATAGTGAAAAGAGTCTCTGAAGCCATAGTTACATTACGTCATGAATTTATCAAGCTTCCTAATACAAACGAAGAACAAGCCTATGTGAAAGAAAAATTTTATAGGATTGCTCGCTTTCCTAATGTGATAGGCTGTATAGACTGTACACATATAAAGATACAATCACCAGGTACCTATGTTATCATTTTAATTGTTATTCCATACTAGCTTTCAGCCCGCAACTTCGCCCGCGTGGAATTTTGTCTGTCACAAAAAAACTTTAACACGCGCGTTCCTGTTTCAAAAACCGGGATAAAAACTATCCTATATCCTTTCCCGGGACTCAAACTATCTCTATGCCAAATTTCATCAAAATCGGTTCAGTGGTTTAGGCGTGAAAGAGAGACAGACAGACAGAGATACTTTCGCATTTATAATATTAGTATAGATTTCAAAATCTAACATAACTAATAACTTTCGATTAACTTGTAAAGTTTATCTGTGGAAACTGATTAGGCTACTGTACTGTTTTTATTTTTTAAGTTCACATGTATAAACTCATGCTGTTTGTTTCCTTAATAAAGAAAATAAAATAAAATAAAATAATAAAACTATGTACTAAATAATGGTGTCTGATTATAATGATTTTAGGTGGAGATGATGCTGAGTTATTTCGCAACCGGAAATCATACATGTCAATCAATGTTCAAACTATAAGTGACCCTGATCTATTGGTAACAGATATTGTAGCTCGTTGGCCAGGATCAACGCATGATTCAACAATTTATCAGACTAGTAATATATTCAGGAAATTCGAAAGGGGTATTTATAGTGGGGCATATTTATTAGGAGACAGTGGATATCCTCTGAAGGTAAAAATAAAAAGCATTAATTAATTTTGTGTTTTAATAAAAATATTTAAATTTATAAGTCGACAAAATTTACTCTTCCGACTTACGAAGTTGAACCTCCACCTGTAAAATAAAAGAATACTTTTTTATTATTTATTTACAATACCTATTAATTACTTTTTTTAGATAGGCATTAGGCTCAGAGGCAATACTTTACCAAATGTGTAATTTATTTATTTGTAAAAAAAACAAGTATGAGTAATTAAAATAACCCATTAATTTTTCAGAGCCACCTTCTTACCCCTTATTTAAACCCATCAACTCCAGCACAACAAAAATACAATGAAGCTCAAATAAAAACTAGAAATGTGGTAGAAAGACAGTATGGAGTTCTAAAACGAAGATTTCCAGTCTTAGCAGTTGGTATACGACTAAAACTACCCACCGCCGTCAATGTCATCATAGCATGCTGTATTTTGCACAATATATGCATCCTACGGAAAGAACAAGAACCTTTAAACGATGGATCTATTCCTAACTTAGAATCCCTCATTGAAGCTGGAAGAATTCCCCATATACCAGTGACAGTCAATGACCCCATATATGGGTTTCAAAGAAACCAAATAACTAATTACTTTGAAAATATGTAATGTTTTAATATAAATTAAATTACCTCTTATTTGTGCTAAACATTCAGTTTTTATTTCTAACTCCATTTTGGCTGTTTCCAGTTGTAATTTATAAAGCTGGTTTTTAAATTCAATTTCATTTTGCAGAAGCTGTACTTTTAAATTTTCAATGTTTTCTTTCTTTTTATTTACTTCTTGAAAGCTTGCACAAAGAGAAGAGACAGCTTCAGTCCTTTCATTTTTTTGTGATAGTTGTGGACGTCGCCTAGACCACAATGGTGCTTTATTTAATTCTTTAAATGTATTCAGTTGACTATCTTCTTTTGATGTAGATTCAGATATCTGGAAAAGGCAAATTTTATGAAATGTAAAATTATTGAACTTTAACAAATTGATATTTCTAAAAAGAAGTAGGTATTTTGATGTAATAAAAGGAAAAATTAAGAAGTTGCTGCGGACAAATTTTTAGTTAGATACTGTTAGATAGGTACCATTAACTTTTTGGAAGAGAAATCCTTGCAGGGATCTACGAGAAGAGAAAGCACACGTAACCAGTAGGTAATAAGAGTTATGAAATGCAATATTATACTGTTAGAGGCCGGTAGATCTATTCTCATCTAAAAAACACTGGATACATTACTTTCATTCAGAATAAATTGCCTCATTTTCTTCTTCTATTAGTCTGACGTTTCTAATTCTAGACTGACATTGACATTACTTACGTTAATGTCACCCTGTCAGCAGCTCGATGCTGCTTTTACACTATGCGGAAATTAGCCGAGTCAAGTCAAAAAACAGAGGAGTGGGGATGAAAAATGAATGTATTTCATCCCCACTCCTCTGTTTTTTGACTTGACTTGGCTAATTTCCGCGCAGTGTAAACGCAGCATTAGACTCAAATTAGACTTTAAAGAATAACCGTTATTTTATCGTTTAGATTTTTCACAATACTTACAAGTTTGACTTCTTCGGATGGGATTTCTATAATAGTCTCTATAGGGTAATCTTGTATTTCATTCTCAATCTGATATTGTTCTATGGGTGCATCTTGGATACAAAATACTTTTGGAAGAGACATCACACTGCTCTCCTCATCACCATCACAATCTGCGACACCTAATATGCCAGTACAGCCTCTGCCAAGAATGGCACATACTTGCTCAAGTACTGGATCAATTTTTATTACTGATGGTCCTCCACCGGTCTTTATACAATTCTGTTTATTATTCTTATAATAGAGTTTGCTCTCTGATTTTAATTTTTCCCAAACTTTCATAAGGGATTCTTTATTCCTGCAATATAAATCGATAGGACATTTGAACGATAATTTTCAAGACATTTACATGTACCTAATATTGTCGTTAAATATTTATTTATGGCCAATAAAATAAAAACAAGTTATTAATATCCACCTGTATACCGTTCCAGTCGAATTGAAAGTGTTGGTTACAGTTATCCAAGCCTTAGTTTTGGCGTCGTTTGATGAACCGTCTGTTTTTTTGTTTAAAATTGTATCTTTGTGGGCAACTAAAATTTGGATTAATTTATCAATGTAAAAATAATGCTTAGTAAGTAAGTAGTTAAGTATAGCAGTAAATGTAACCTACTTATTCTGTGTTTGATAATCTATTCCAATATTGTATAGTCAGCACTTTTTAAACAGATACCTAAGATACAGGCAATAAATTTTGCTTAGTTTAGGTATCATTAATTACTTATGCACACTAACCTTAATTTTATCGAAACCAAACTTGTACGTGTTTAGGCTAAGTTTTTATACAGAAATAAAATTTATTCTATTTATTCTTATTCTTATCTTTTTCCTCGAGGGTAAAGTTTTGCCCTCGTTTTCTTTTTTCAGCCATCGTTTTGTTTAATTATTTTAAAACACAAAACTACGTACGCAGAGCTGAGCAAAGTAACAAGAAACAAAATATTTCAATTTGCGCGGCAATCATCTTGACACTTACTTTTTTTTAAGGCAAAGGAACTACATGAATACACCGAAACATCTTTTTTTTGTCTTTATTTAATAACTAAAAAATACAAAAACACCAGTTTCGGTCAAATTTTTCTTAGTTTTACTTTAATTTCATTTGTTTCTGTAAAATACGTAAGATATTCCCAATAAAATATTTTATCGGAAAGTACCGGTTTTTCATACGTCCCTAGGCGCACGAAGAAACGCCACCTGACAAAAGGGTCCCTACTTAGGTTTACTATAGTATGGTCAAAACGAACTTAAGTTAGTGGGGAGTTTAGGCGACCGTTTAACTAAAGTGATATTTAGTTAGCAAACGCTTAAGGGATTGATGGTGAAAACGGGCATTAGTCTACCGGCCGAATACTGAAACGCTACTCAAATCTTTCACTCAGCTGACGGGCTCCTAAATTTAAGTATCCTTCAATTTTAAATGGTATTCTCAAACGCCACTCAACGGATTTGAAGCCGTGATCAGCTAAGCAGCTCTCAAATGTTTACATAATGGCAACATTTACCAAAAAAAGTATGTTTTCATTTACACAAATGATAACTTTACGTTTTTTATCCATTACACGCAGCATCGTTTGGTTATGTATTGTCTTTTATGGAAATATACTCAATCAACTTAACATAGAACAGTTTATTTTTAGTTTCTATTATATGTAAATCTCGTTTTGACATATAAAAAAATTAATGCTTGCATTTTTATTTCATTAAAAAAATAATTTTAAAGGTGATACTTTTTATTGTTGAAATCTATTAAGTGGCGATCGTGGACCGAAACGTAACCACAATTGACATCTGTACCCCCAGTGAAAAGGGATCTAACTCGACTTAGATCAAAATTGACTTTATATGTGCAGAAGATGCATGGAGGCAGAAGAAAAACCACAGCACGTGCACAAGGAGTGCAGAAGCGTAGCAGATCAACAGGCTCAAATTCTCCAATCACCAGGGTCGCTGCAGAAGGCCTGTAGAGACCTAGATAGGCTGCTGCTACCTGGGGGGATCTGGAGCGGTTGGAATAGGAAGATCAAATAGCGCACAATGGTCTAATCAAAAGGTTAAGTGCAATATTCGATTGCCCTGCAAAACTAACTACGTAAGTCCTTATGAATGGATACTATGTATAAAGTAAATAATTATGTAAGTGGCATGTGTTGCTGGAGTGGAGTGCTGTCCACCTACAAGGTGGACCGACGACATCGTAAAGGTAGCAGGGAAGCGCTAGACGCAGGCCGCTACCAATCGATCAACATGGAAAGCATTGGGGGAGGCCTATGTTCAGCACTGGACGTCCTGTGGCTGAAATGATGATGATG